GTGTCCCCAGCTGTCCCCAACGTGGCCCCAGTGTGTCCCTGTGCCCCCAACATGGCCACAACGTGTCCCCAATGTGTCCCCAACTTGTCCCTGTGCCCCCAGCTGTCCCCAACTGTCCCCAACATGGCCCCAACTGTCCCCAGCTGTCCCCAATGTGTCCCTGGGGTGTCCCGGGGTGTCCCCAGGTGTCCCCAACAGGCCCCCAGCTGTCCCCAGGTGTCCCTGTGTGTCCCCAGGTGTTCCCAATGTGTCCCCAGGTTTCCCCAGGTGTCCCCAACGTGTTCCTGGGGTGTCCTCTGGTGTCCCTGTGTCCCCAGGTATCCCCAACATGTCCCTGGGGTGTCCCCAGCTGTCCCCAACGTGTCCCTGAGGTGTCCCCTGCACATCCCCAATGTGTCTCCAATGACATGTCCCCTGCTTGTCCCCTGCCTGCCCTCAGCATGTCCCCAGCGTATCCCTTATGTGTCACCTGCGTGTCCCCAAGGTGTCCCCAGCAATGAGGCCCCTGAATGTCCCCCAGGTGTCCCCTGCATGTTCCCAGTGTGTCCCCAACAGTGCCCTCATGTCCCCAACCCGCTCCAGGGCGTCCCCCAAAACATGTCCCCAAGATGTCCCCAGTGTGTCCCAAACGTGTCCCCACATGTCCCCAAACGTGTCCCCTCCGCAGAGCTGTGTCCCGAGCCCCCCGCTGACGCCAGTGCCTGGCAGGGCCCCCCCTGCCACGAGGACTGGGAGGCAGGTGGGTGTCCCCGGGCGTCCCCTCTGCTGTCCCCACGTCCCCCTCCCCGTGCCACGCTGTCCCCTTGTCCCCGCAGACGCCACCGAGGCCTCGTCCCCCTTCGTGCTGGATGTGGACGTCGGGGACCGCCTGCCCCCCGGGCCCAGGTGGGGACACGGGGACACCCCAGGGTGGGGGGGCATGTGGGGACACCGCCCCCCCACGCCCTTGTCCCTGTGTCCCCAGCTCGGCAGGTGGCACCAGGACAGGGGCGCCGCAGTAGGAGCAGGGCGGCACGTTGGGGACATCGGGGGACAATGGCGGGGGTCCATGGGCGACGTGGGGGATGACCCCTTGGGGGACATGGGGGGGTGACCCCTTGGGGACACTGGGGGTGGCCCCAAGGGGTGGAGCTTTTAATAGGGGGGGGAGAGTAAATGTCTGTTGAAATAAGTGTGGGGTCGCGTGGTCTGTGCGCCGGGGACATGGGGACACGGGGACA